AAGAGCATTAATGTATGGAAGGTGGAAGAATAAAGAGCATTTTCAGGGTCCTTCTGATGCTGCTACATGAAATCACTTTTCCTATTACCAGACTCAGTGCACACATCTATGAACAGGTCTGGTTGCTAAGACTGAAATGAAATTATTTTGTCCATGTAGGTACATTGCAAATCGGGGCAAAAAGCTTGTCTGTTGTTTGTTACAAGTACAAGCTTAATCCTACTGTTTTCTTAAGAATATTAATAGCACCACTTTCTTGTATTTGTTATTAAGACCGCCATAGTCCTCCAGCACAAGCATGTCCATGTTCTATATGGTCCCCTATATGGTCAGTTCACGTATGTGCAAGAAGCCTTAACAGGCCTGCATGCTGGTTTTCGCAGTACATGCTGTGCAGGTGCAGCACTTCAAAATGCAGTTGATTTGCTTATGTGTACTAGCTATTTGCCTGGTATTTCCAGAGGTCCAGTGACTGAAGAAAGAAGGCATTCCTGTCTAGGTTTCTCCACCATGATACTGCTAATTGCTACCACTTAGAAAGACACTTCTCTAATATTTGCACTTGTAAACCTGCTATTAAAGAGGCTCTGGTCTTTATCCTTCCTTGAAAAGAGGAAGAAAACATTCCTGAGCATTGTCTGAGGCATTTAGAGCTGCATAATATGATGATATGCAACACATTAAATACTGGTTTATCTTGTGTGTATGGGTAAAAGTTGGTATTTACTGCCCTTTATCTTACACATTCACTGGAAATAAATTGTGTGGTATTTTAAATGACTTGCACAACTTCATGGTTTCACTGAACCATTTTATTATAGTGAATTAAGTGAACTTAAGAAGCATTGAATTTCATGTATCAGGGTAAAGAATATCCATGATGGCTTACTATGTGTGAGGGCTATGGGTTGTTTTTTTTTTTCTGTTCTGCCTTCCTTTTCCCCTACAGTGTAAGATGGAGTGTTTGCAGTGGAGATGTAGTATCAAGATAACTTCAAAGATACCGTGTTGCCTGCAGCTAGAGGCAAATTCTGGACCAACAGAATATGGCTCAGGAATCAAACTTAAGGGGGGAAGAAAGAGTCTACCTGTGCATGCATAGTGCCCAACGCACCTGGAAACTGGGCATGTATGAGAGGAAGGGGTTGAAGAGGCAGTGTCATCTTGGGCTCCTACCTAGGTGCTGGATCTTACACAGGGAAGATGTTGCCACTCGGCTAGTTGGCAGTGTGTTCCTTCCTTAAGAGAGAATGTTCTTCTGAATGTTTTTCCAATTTGAAATTTCTAAGTTAGGTACTGTATGGTGTATGGTTTCTGAAAGGTTGCAGTGCCCCACAGGTTGGTCTACTGACTTAACATTAAAACAGATGTGATTTTTAACAATGATAAAAAAAAAACCAACCAGAAAGTAAGAACAAATGCGTGACTCAAGGACATTGCTAAGGCAAGGAAGATCCCATTCTAACTACTATAACTTCTAATACAAGAACATTCCATAGTGTTACAATTACTTAAACTGTATTCTGAAGTTCACTGCAGTTTCAACTTTCATCTTACTTCCACTCTCTTGTCCTAGTGGGAAATGTATGTAACGTGTTACAGTCCACCCTGAACAGTTTGAAGTGTGGAATTGTTATAGTAAGTTCTAGTGTTTCTGTTGTCTTTTATGATTCATGAAGCTTTTTTCCTTTAAATGCAAATGGCGTTGCCTTTTCAGTGGAGTGGTTGTTCCCCTCTGGATCAAATTTGTTAGCAAATTTATGCAACCTAGGACAGGGAAAGAGGAAAAACTTGTGTTCTGTAATGTTTCCTTAATAACCTTCTAAGGCCCTATTTGTCATTCATTTCAAGTATGTTAGTCTTGGACATGAAAGTATAATGAACGTGTCATGAGATTTACTTATTGAGAAGGAAGTTACGTCTTATTGTCTAGGATTTCTAGCATGCTATGTGCATTTGAAATTCCTTATTTCATGTAAAACAGCCATGTGCTTTGCTCCCTTTCCACGCACCTGTGCTCTGAAACAATAAAAAACTGATTTCTTTTTGGTTATGACTTCAGTTTTGTCCTGGGGTACTGCTACGACCTGCCCTGCCTACTGCGCAGGGTAAGCAGGGCTTCACTTGTGAAAGTCATCTTAACTGTGTCTTGTTCTTTTTGTTGCTGACAGAAATAAGAGTTCCTTGTTTTCCGCCACAACAGTATCTTGAATTGGTTAGCACCTTGGGTTTTGATTTAATTATCCTGGCTCCATGGAGAGTTTTATGTGGTCTGAGCTGAATGCCAAACTGGTTGTGTGTCAGCCTAACAGACATATGAGGGTTTCTCCAGACTGTCTAAATCAGGGTTTGAGGTGGCTTAAGCTCTGGTTGTCTGCTTCATTACCAGCTTCTCTTGTTAAAAGCTTATGTGGAGTGGTTGTAGGACATCTGTTCAGAAACACTGTTAAAGCTGTTCTTCTGTAAATCAAGGCAAAGGTTTGGAGATGAGAAGCAAGAGGACTTAATATGTCAGGAAGGAGACTCAAAGGATTTTCCCAGGCAGTCATCAACCCATTGAAGTGACAACTGCTTGAGGCCCTGTCTCTCCTTGCTCTGACTGTCATGTGGCTACCAGCTTCTGTAAGGGCACACCAGGGAATTCCTCTTGATCCTGCTGGTTGTTCAGCCCTTTGAGAACACAGAAATTAACCTATACCACATGCCCCAAGTGTCCTTGAAAGCTTTTTGGATAACCAAGTAGTCATGTTCCTGCATGTTTATGGCTTTAAATGATTGAAGTGGAAAGCTGATTACTTCAATTTTTGGTCTTAATGCTAAAATAATTCTTAAAAGATGTAGGAGGTAGATGGCTTTAGCACTAAATAGCTCACTAACTAGCCTATCCTTTAAGAAGGAGAGTGCATCCAGAAGGGTCTTTTGGGGTTAGAGTAGTGCAAGGTATTCCCCTAGACTAGGGAGTTTACCTTTTCTTACTAATAAATATCTGCTAAGGAGACACAGAGTAAAAGGTTCATCAGCTGGAATTCTGTGCTTGGCCAACATCCTGCAGGCTTTCTGGTAAGGAATGGGAAGCACATCCCCTCAAGTTGTTCGGTTTGTAAAGTGATACTTATTTTATATCCACTGTGGAGTTTCAGTGCAGAGTACAAATAACTTGTACAAAACAAAACTGTAGATTACAAGCATGTTTTCTCAAAGGGGGTAGAAAGGGATTAGAATATGATTAGGGATTTGTTTTTGAGAGGGATTAAGCAACAGGAGTTTTTTAAGGTCACATTTTCAAATTGCAGCCTTGCTGTTCCTGAGAATTTGGTATCTGAACTTCTCCTCCCTTCCTACACTGCAAACACTGTTTGGGAAACCTTTGGTTCTTAAGGCAGAGGAATAATGAAGCATGGATCTTAAATGCTACAGTTGGGAAAAGGAGTTCTTAGAAAACCTTTATTGCTTGTTCTTTCTTCCTGCTTTTAGAGGATTTTTTTTTTTTTTAATGCTAATTTAAAGGACACTGCTTTATAAATACAGATTGAAAGTGACAAGGCACCCACGTAGCTGTCTTCTCTGGTTCAGTTCTGGGGTTCCATGTCTTGGAAACTGCCTTCTGTCATCTTTCTATAGGAGCATCATCTGGGAGAGAGCAGGAGAAAGAAACAATTCAGTAAAGGCTGAAAGACACTTGATGCCTTCATGTCTCACTGAAAACAGATGCAAAATTTTCTGTTTGACTAAAACTAGCAGAGGCAACTTGTTTTGTTCGCAGTTCTGTGTTAAATGTAACATTGATTTAACCTGACATTTATCCTAGAGTTTAAATATACTTAAGTGGCTGGAAACTGCTGCAGTGTCAGGGCTTTGTAATGAATGATTCTGTTTCTCTTCTACCTGTTCCTCTCATTTCTTCAAATGATGCCCCGCACTGGGCATCAGTGCTGCAGCTGTAGCAGGCTCTCCTGGGCTGTTCTGTAACATTGCATTTCTAAAATGTTGAGAAATTGGCTTTCCTGTTATCTGGCATTATGTTTACATGCCCGCTTTTTCTTCTCTTTCCTTCAAAATACCAAGCCACCAATCTGACTTGCTAGTAAACTCTATTACACGATTGTCCTAGAGTGGGGTTTTGTGTTTGTTTTGGGGTTGTTTTTTTGAGATACATTGCAAGCAGTATAGTCTCCTGTAGTCAAGAACAGTTGGAGGTAATCCTGCCCCGATTTGCCATTTTTCTGGTCTTTATGCTGTTCCGTGCAAGCTTAGTTGCTGCTCCTGCCTCCTGATTAACTGCTAATGGACTTTTTCTAGTCATTAAACACTCATGCCTTCTGCATACACTAGTAATCTCTGTCTTGCAGTCTACTTCTGCCATTGCAGTAAATCTGGTTGTGTTGTTGCTTCACTAACAGCAATAGCTTTATGAACTCTTGCCCTGTAGCGTCATTCAGTACCTGTAACTGCTGGTTTTATGTGATGTGTAGACTTTTTTTATGAGGGGAAAGAATCAACATGTATCAGGTTAATGCTGATTGCTTCCTAAGAAAAATCTGAAGCCTTTTGCCCTTAAAACCTCAGATTAATGCCAGCTCTAATACAAATGGAAGTTAAATTATAAGTCTTAAATTTAATTTAGTCATTAGGGCCTTTTGTAAGCCAAGGGGATTGCCTGTAGGCAACTGTTGTGTGCTTGCAGGAGCCATTATTCCAAGGGGGTTTAGGCCTGGAAATGGTCAAGTCAGAAATTCCCTCTCATTTAACTAGAAGCTCAATCAAATTCTGTTTTGAGTGGGAAAACCTGCAGAGCAATCTGGATAACACAGCAGAGTCAGTCCCCCAAATAAGTGTGCAGGTGTGGTAACACAAATCTAATTGGGGCTTAAGTGTGTATACTAAAGAGGTTACGGTAGTGCATCGAAGCATGGAGACTGTACTGTACACAAAGTACTTTGTTAACACCAAGAAATAGCTTTCAGTAAGTCTTAAACAATGCTTTTTGTTTTTCTCCTTAGATCAATGTTCGAGTTGTTACTATGGATGCAGAGCTGGAGTTTGCCATCCAGCCAAACACTACAGGAAAGCAGCTGTTTGACCAGGTCAGTGAGGTTTGGTATGGGCTCTTGTTTAAGCTTGGAGTACATTTCAGACTATAGTGTTTTCTTAAGACTGGATTCCAAACCTACCTTTCTTTCTTCTGTCTCCTAATCCAAGGGCCCTGGTCTGAGCTAAGAGCTCTAAATTTCATCACAATAAAAGAAAAAAAGCAAAAATCCTTGCAGGTATGTTATGTTCCAGTGAAACCTATCTCCCTAGCAGTGTTAGATGGTAAAGTGTCGTAAGGGATCTAAAATGTCTATGCAGCACAGGTAGCATGTAAAAGGTCGCCTCTTGCTGTGAAATACAGCTTGGAACTTAACTGAATTCTGAAGTTGAAATGTTGTCCCAGAATCAGGTCTTCAGAGGGCTGACAGACCCATCAGAAGCTGGGTTGGAGGTAGCCACATGCCACAGGTGTTTGCCAGAATACTAGAAAACCAGTAGAGTTTGTGATCACTGTGCAGCAGCTATAGCAGCATGCCTTGTAAAAAGCCTCTGTGCAGCAGGATTGAGCAAAGACTTGTCCAGCCTGCTCCCAGGGGTTCGCAAGGAAGTGGAGGGCTAGCCAAGACTCTCCTCCCATACTGCTATTCTTCCTGCTGCTGTATTAACAATATACAGTTCTGTTTGGAGATGGACCTACAAAGGTCAAATAAAGACAACTAAAATAAACAGAGTACTCTGTAAAACTGTTACTCTTTTCTTGGATAGCTTGCTCTTAAACCGAAGCAAGGCTGAGATTTCAGTAGAAAAATTTACTGTTCTGGAATTTAAAAAATAAAAAGTTTGCTTCTAGCTATTACTGCTGGAACCCTGAAAACCAAACCAAGAACAGATCTATGCAGACTTCAGTTACACATATTGAGCTGGTTATGAAATGTTGCAGCAGTTCGTTTGTGCTTCTCCTCTCATCTCCTGCTAGCCTTGGTAGCAAGGGATTGCTGAGCTTTAACTCAGGTAGGCAGAACTGGCTAAAAACGTCCGTTCCTTCTGAGTTTTTGTTGGTACTGTTTCTTCTTTCAGTGAGCTACCTACAACTTGCCATGCTTTATGATAACTCTGCACTGAGAAGTGCTTGTCAAAAACAGACAACAAACAAAGAAACAGAAACCAAACACAAAAGCCCAAACCCCCAACAAACAAAGGAAAAACATTTAGTGGGTCCTTGGAGGGAGTGAAAGGAGGAAATCTATAATTGCTGCAGAACTTCACAGTACAAAATAAAGTACTACAGACTGTGTCTGGCATTAAATCTAACTTTTATTTCTTTGGATTATTAATGATATGGGATAAAGTATTCATTGGAAATTTGGTGAAGTGCATATGAAATGTGCATTTGCATGGAACCAGCCTTTGTGTTTGACTTTCCATTCACTGCTGATCACCCTTGTATCAGGGTAACTTCCTCTGCCAGCCCCTTCCATGTTAACCCAAACCAGGCAACTGTGGTTTTATCTCTGAGAGTGCAAAAATCCAAATTACTAAAAGCCAGGTTTTTAAAAGCAATACCTTAGATCAGACAGTGTAATTGCATCCTATGTCCTTTATGACAATGACTTCCCCCCTCCCATATAGTCACTAATGTTTACAGCTATTAAGAGTTGGGTCATCTCTCTGGCAGAAGAGAGACTTCTTTCTTGACCTCCAAAGATGAAGCACAAGATCTTGAGAACGTGGAAAAAGGTGGGGATGCTTTGGTTCCAAGATACTTGCAGCTTGCTGTCTAGATAGTTCTGTATTTCTGGGGTCTGCTTGTTGCAGCATTTATTACTGCTATTGGGATAGATTGTCACCTCATGAAGATCTGCTCCTTGCATCCCATAGATTGGGTTTAAAGCCTCTGATTGAAAGTTCTTATCCATAGTCCATACCTTGTTATGGTGTACTTCTGCATATCAAGAGAAGACTGAGGTAGAAGTGCAGAGCAAAACAGGGGAAGGTCAAGACTGTATGTTTAGCTGCAACTGTTCTGACATCCCCTCTTCACTTCTGCTGTGCAAGCCTTTTACTAGGCCCTTATCTTGGATGGAGTTTACACTGAGATAAAGCCTGTGGAGGCAACAGGTTTTCACAGGTATGGGGAGTGGCCCAGCTTGACCCACCCTGAGAGGAAAAGGGCGTTGAAGAAGCAGGCTATTTTTAAAAACCACAAGATGATTTCTTGGCTCGAGCTGTCAGCCAGCAAGGCTGCTCTGGCAGTGCCCTTGAGCTTTAGGCTTTGCTGTCATATAGGTGTATCCTGCACGTAAGGTGAGTTATAGCTCACTTTTATGGAAGGGGAGAAAGAGTGGAAAGCTGTAACTACAGAGTTCACCTCTGCTCAAGCCAGACCTGTGTGGAGTTTATGCTGCAATGATCTGAGGTGTCCTGAGACCCTACACAGCTGTGGGCTCTGCAGCTGGCCAAGAGGGAAAGATGCTCCAGTGGAGGAGAGTGTGCCACTGGTGGTGTCTGGGAGTGAATACATTCCTGGCTGGAATGGGAAGGCATAAGATTTGCTGCTTTGTGCATTTTGGGGCTGGGGGGATAAAGTTGACTCCCATCTTGACTGTGCCTTGGTTCTTAGTTCGTCCTTGGTTTGCTGCAGAGGAGGTTTCCAGACCGCTTCCTAGAATATAGGTGAAAATGTTCATGACATTGTTCTTTGCATTGGAACTCAAAATGGCCAGATACTGATGTTCAGCTTAATACATTCTCCTTCCTTGTCTTTCGGGTTTGGGAAGAACTTGAGGGCCTACAACTTCTGCAAGTTTTCTAACTTGATTTGTAGAAGAAGTGTACTTTTTCTGTTGTAAGAGACATTCAGAGGGAATGGCCTGATAACTGCTTGATTTATGCAGCTCTATTTTAACAAAGTTGCTGCACTTTTTTGTGCAACAGGAAGTACCCCTGCTCTTCTGCTGGGTTCAGTAAAGCCCAGCTCTGACCCTTCTAAAAATACATGTAGCTGTCATAAACTTGCCTGTTCTGTGGGGAAACGAGCTGCTTGGGGGGAAGAGGGGAGGGGAATTCTAGTCCAGTAAGGGCTGAAGTGCTTTTCAGACCCTAGATCTTTGAGGGGCTTGGGAGCTTTTGTTTGGGTGGCTGTAGGGTTTGCTTGATTTTCATTTTCTTAACATAAACTCTAGTTAGATATGTCTGGCCCTGCTGAAGTAGAATGTGTGAACTGTACCCTACTAAATAGAGCCCACAGTGTGTTGCTATGAAGCTGTCCTGTTTCCTCAACTAGGCACTGGTTTCTGTATCCTTAAAACATTGTATTTGCTTAGTGACATTTTTCATACTACTGTGTGATCTTCTTGGTCTGCTCCTGTCGCTAAACTTCATAGATTGCCTGTTATCGGACAATGTCATACAAACAGTAAGTCTCAGTGCTAATCAGAATGGTGCCTTTCTCCCCATCTCTTTTATCAATCACAGGAAGCTTCTGGCTTCCAGATACAGACTTCTGGAAAATATAGGGGAAACGTAATGAAGTGTCCTGAAATCATCTTTTCTCTCAAGTCTGCTCTCCAGATGGAGTGCCCAGCAATACTGTACATGGGGACAGTGAGGCAGAGCTGACAGCAAACTCCTGGGCTGTAAGAACAAGCAGTCCAAGAGCAGGAGGAAGTCAGGAACTTGTTAGGCCATCTCCACTAAAAAAAAGGAATGTCTCCAAAACAGGACTGTTTTCACTAGTAAGTGTGCCATCCAGTCAACGGATGGTGTACCCAGGGATTTCATCTGGTTAGGACTAACACTGTGTGAAACTAAATCTGGCCTGGTGTTGAGCCATTCCTATGTTTGTGTCCTCAAAAACCAGTTGTGTGAATTTTAAAAAAGAATTCCCTTGGCTGTGACTACTTGCAGCTTGTTTTAATTCTCAGACCTGCACAGGGAGCTCACTGCAGGAGCTGTGTGAACCATCCCGTAGTTGCTTCCTACAGCCAAATAGTCTTTGGTGACTGGCAAGACAAGATCAGTTGAGTACTGCTACCTAGTTGTAGTTACTACTAACATCGTTACAGGCTATCTCACCATAAGCTTTGGTGAAAGAACTAACTTGTCTGCTTCACCAAATACAGTTTTGAGAAGATAACAGTAGATCTTCTGGGGCAGAAGCTTCAGATGCTGCTGGTGTACCAGTCTAGCAGTTGGTGGCCTGTCACTTGTCCCATTCATTTCTCCCAGTTTCCCCAGAATCATCTTCTCCTAGGAACTGTGTGGGACAAGTAGCTTGGCCTGTGCCATTACTGTCATCTACTGCAGCTGTGTGTCATTGTCAATGAGATGAAATTAAGAGATGAGATGCCAGATGAGTAGGATTAGGCTGTTGTCTGCACCCGCAGGCTGTGCAAGAGTTGAGCATACCTGCAGCTTGGGTGCTCTGTTGCCTACAATAATTGATTTTTTCCTTTTTTCTTTCCCTTGTGTTGCAGGTGGTTAAAACCATAGGCTTGAGAGAAGTGTGGTACTTTGGTCTTCAGTATGTGGACAACAAAGGATTCCAGACTTGGCTGAAGCTTGATAAAAAGGTAACAGACCTTGGGCTAATTGCTGAACAAAGGTTAACACTTTTATGATTCCTGATGTGTTATTGGCTGCAACTTTATAAACCTTGTACCTGTTGTCAATTGTTCCTTAATTCTCATAACTCCAGGATTGCTTTTAGAGGTTGTGGTGTGACCTCCATGGGAACTGTTTGGGTGAGGTGTGACATGGTGGAAGTTTACCCTTTTTCTCTGTGTGAATTGCAGAAACTTTTTATAGTTTCTGCACTTGTCAGATACACAGCAGCAGCTTGATATTATACTTTGGTTGATTGAAGCAGCTATTCTTGCTGTGACTGGAGGAACACCTGGGCTGGTGAATGGTTTCGGTCTCTGCTTATGCAGGATCAGTTGTTATGGTGAAAGAGAGGTCACTCCAAAGCTGAGCAGTTGTAACAGAGCACTGGTGCCTCTGATGTGCTCTTGTTTGTAGGCTTGCATTTCTTCTCAGGGTATGAACTATTGTTCTTAACTGGGCAGTCACTGGAGTTCCTGTTCAATGACAGGGAGCTGTTCTCTGTCAAATGCATACAATACTGGATGGGTTTGCCCATCTGACATAGCATGGTAACTCATTCTCTAGTCACTAAGGTTTGCTGTGCAAATGGAATTTTACTGGCTTAGCTGGAAAACATAATGCATCTCCCCTGTACTCTCATACCAGTAAACAGCCAGAATTAAGGAATTGAAGTAATGAGTTGCCAGTCCCTCTCCTCTTAGGAAAATGCCCCGAATGCTTTTTTCTGTGTAAAAGGAATGTACTCTATTGTTTGCAACCCTGCTCAGTTGTGGTGTCACCTCTGTCCTCAGGTTTCTGCTCAAGAAATCAGAAAGGAGAATCCCCTCCAGTTCAAATTCCGTGCCAAGTTCTTCCCAGAGGATGTGTCTGAAGAGCTGATCCAAGACATCACACAGAAGCTCTTCTTCCTGCAGGTGAAGGAAGGGATCCTCAGCGATGAGATCTACTGTCCTCCTGAAACAGCAGTTCTTCTTGGCTCATATGCTGTGCAGGCCAAATTTGGAGATTACAACAAAGATGTACACAAGCCTGGATACCTCAATTCAGAGCGTCTCATACCCCAGAGGTGAAGGAGTTGGTTGATGCAGTCTCCCTTTCTTCTGTATTTTTGAAGTCAATAATTTGCACTCTAGTTAAATAGAGAGTTCCATTGAAAGCATGCCATTTTTATTGAACTGTATGCATTTGGGGGGTTACCTTCTTTTATTTCTGTGTCATACTAGAGTGTGGCTTTTGTGGTTTCTCCTTGGGTTGCTTAGGCAGAGGAAGTATTACTTTCAAATTCAGCTTTTCTTTCCTAAACATTGCTGCCATGCTGGTAACTGACAGTATGAATTTGTTCTCTTCAATAAGAGAAGCGTTCAGTCAAGAACCGGTCATTTCTGGAGAAGGCTGAGTTGCATGGACTTAATTCTGATGCACAGTCCTAAAAATCTTGTACCTGGGAAGTATGTCTTAGGGCTATGTAGTCCATCCCCACAAGGATAAATGTATGCTACCAGACAAAAGACTCCTGTTTGCACTTCCTGATGCAGCAGTGTCTAATTCTAGGAACAACACCAACTTTTGCTTTGCTTTAACCCTCTGGTGTCTACAGTGTATATGTTATTCTTTTGGCAGCATTCTGCTTGCGTCTCTTGTCAGTGACCAGAAAGGTTTTGTGAAGGGGTTTTGTTCATTCTGAATTGCTCTGCTTCACAGAGTACATCTTTGGGCTGAGTAGTGTCTTCCTCTTGGTTTCAGGAAGGCTTCATGGGTGGGACTGATTTTTCAGTAAGTCTGTAGCAAAGATCAGCATTAATGGATACTGCAGAACATAAAGTGTAATATTCCCAATATCTATTTGCTTGTTTAGGGTGATGGACCAGCATAAGCTCTCCAGAGAGCAGTGGGAAGAACGGATCCAGGTGTGGCATGCTGAACATGGTGGCATGCTCAAGTAAGTGTTTTGTATTGGTCCTTAGACTGGTCTCTTTGTTGCTGGTTGGTTACCTTAAGCTTGCAGTTCTACACCCAGCTTTTGAAATAGACTGTAGGAGTTGCCTGTCTGGGAACTCTTGGTGTATATCTTCTAGTCCAGCATTGAACCACATGGTGAAACTCAGTAGGATATTTGCACTGGTGCTGAGAACAGTGTCTTGGATGGCTTCATGAAGATCCTGAACCTAGGTACAGTGTATCACTGATGACTTTGAGTTGGAAAATAAGAAAAGGTGTAAGTCTAACTTAATGTTCACTGAAGCTTTTGCTTTGGCAGATGGGGAAGGTTAAGATTCTGTACCTTTCCCACTGACTGTACCTTGAGGCAAGGATGAATGCTGAGAGAGATGGGTGTTGTGAATTTCCTGCCTGGAAATACTATGGCTTGGTAGATGGAGCACTGTTTGTGTTCATAGGTGTAATAGCATTAATTTCTGAAGGGAATCCCAAATGGTGAATGTTAGTTTTAACCCCTGTGTTTGATGTGTGGGTTTAAGAAAAGCTTCTTCTGACAGCTTTGTGGTTTTTGAGATAGTCAGCTAAATGAGAAGCTAACATGTGCCCTCCTTCCTATCTCAACCAGAGAGAATGCCATGCTGGAATACCTCAAGATTGCTCAAGACCTTGAGATGTATGGAATCAACTACTTTGAAATAAAGAATAAAAAAGGAACTGAGCTTTGGCTGGGAGTTGATGCCTTGGGTCTCAACATCTATGAAAAGGATGACAAGTGAGGCTTTTGTTTCATTTCTGATCTTCCGGAGCAAGGGTTGGTGTGGGAGCCCAGGGACATTTCTGATTTACAGCATCAAGGCAAGGTCTAGAACTTGCTCATGTTCCAATTTTGGATCAGGAGGTGAAGCTGTGCTAGGAAATGAGCTTTCACATCATTTCTGTTTTCATGACTTGCCTGACTTGCTACAGAGACATTAGCTGTACAGTGCCATCTGGCAAATCACGCACAGTTGTAGAGCTGAACGCTGAACCCTGAACCAAGGAGGTTACCAAGTGTTTCCTTGAGTCAGGTTACCAGGCATGCCAGCACTGGGTACGAGAACCCAGATAGGCTAACATATCTGCAGAGTGTTTGGACATCCAAGGCCATTCCTACACTGAAGTTAATAACAGATGTGTGTACAACTGCCTGGTTTTGAAAAAGATTATGGGGTGAACATGAAACCAAAGCTGGATAACACCCAGGGCCCAGGGAGGAGTTAACCTATAGTTACTGTGAACAAGGAATGAAATGAGGTCTTGCTGAGGCATGGGTAGTTTTAATCAGTCCTTCTGGTAAAGGCAGAGCCATTGCTAATTGGGTAGTAGGTAGGAAATGATAGAGCACATCTATAAATAAACATAAAAGGAAGGTGAGAATAGCTGTGTCTAAGCCTGTTAGTCTCTTCTAATACTCCAGAACTGAAGGATTGAAAGGGTGTAAAAATTAGGCTGTTTTTAGACAAAGCATTGCTGTCTAGGTGGCTTCCCCCTGCCCCATATGTTCCAGGTCTTAGTTTCATGTCACTAAGCTGTAACAGACTATCATTGTAATACAGAAGGGATTTCACCCATTCTATATCTTTGCTTCCAAAAAGCTTTGAATCCAACCCAAATATTAATTGGAACTCTCTGGAACTTTTGTTAAAGACTGCAGAGAGAAATGCAATCTTTTCTGCAATGCTAATACGTGCTGTCACCCAGAAAACAAGGAGTGTCACTTGAAAGAAAAGTAGTTTCGCTCATGTAATGCTTCAGTCTTGAATGACTAGTCTTGCTATGTAACCACGGTCACACAAACAGGTTTTTCGAGCTGCAGAAGCAGACAGAGTGTAGCCATTGACTGCAAAGAGCTATCAAGAGTGTTTGCAAAACAAATACCATCCTGGAATAAACTGCTTGTTTCTGCTATAACTCTTGCTGCTATGTAATTAAGTCTTTTGGGCAGATATGGGGACTAGAAAAATAGCAATGTGTACTTCGCCTCTGGTTTATACATGCAAAACTTGGGGACTGGGGCAAAGGTGAAAACACAAAGATTTCATTGTTGAAGCTCAACCATGAGACCATGCTATATGTGTATGAGCCTCTGTACTGCAGGGTATGTCAGTGCCCTGCTTCTAGGCATCTTCAAACTTTTTCTGCATTAAAGAGGAGAACCTGCAATAAAACTTACATTAATAGAAGTGAATCATTTTAGTTGTCCATCATGCTGTATTATCTAGGGTCGAAACCCTTAAGCTAATATGACAGAGACTGGAGTAATTAATCTTAAGTCTATCAAATCATTTTCTTTGCAGTTCTTAATGTTATACACACACACACACACAGAGTTGTGTAATCTCGCAGTTGAGTTAAAGGCTGAGTAATGGTAAATTCTGAAGAGGGTGTATTTTATTCTTGATGTCCAATTTAAACAAAAATGCTTGGCTCCAGGGAAATCCTGCTATGTAGTAGCCTTCCATCTCTGTGACAGTGAGTCAGATTCCCCCAAAACTGTCATGTTTCCCTGTACCAATGAGCTCCATAGGAAGGTTTCTTACAGGGTTTGAGTGGCTCTCTGTGGTGACAGATGTTTCCCCAAGTGCTAAACATTAAATACTTGTGTCTTCATTTATGTGAAATAAATGTCAGCACTTAAGTGTGTCTGACATGTATATTGGAGGGGTTAGATGTTACCATTAGATATTATTAGATTGGAGGGGTTGGTATTACCATTTGTGTGAGACACAATTCTTAATTGTTAACTGCTGTCTTTAGAGAATATTTCTTCCCTTGATAAAAGAAGAATAAAAGAATAATGTGATATTAAACATGGAAATATTTTGTTGGGGGGAATTAAAGGAATTGGTTACAGTCAAAGATGCAAGTCTTTGTAATATTAGAACTTGCTGCAGAGCTGGGCGGATACATAAGGGTGCAGTACTGGAGTGGCTTAGGAACATCTGACCTCGCAAGTAGCTTAATACTTTTTCATATGCCAGAGTTCCTTGCAGCATCCTTTAAAAATATTTATTTTCTTTCCAGACTGACTCCAAAGATTGGGTTCCCTTGGAGTGAAATCAGAAACATCTCTTTCAATGACAAGAAGTTTGTTATAAAGCCTATTGACAAGAAAGCACCAGTAAGTATATCTAGACTGGATTCCTGGATACTGCATACGAGCAGCTAATGCTGTTTCATCTCAAAATAAAGTAGTCTTTGGAGAGGATAAAGCTGCAGATATTGTAGGTGCAAAATGAGTGTTAGTACTTGGAGCTGTCTGATCATTGCTCACTTTCACACTACTGAAAGAGTAAAAGCCAGTTGAGGACCATGGTGATCACTGACCCTGAACAGTAGGGTAAATGGCAGTATATGCTTTCTGTGGAAGAACTGAAATGTAGCTCCCTGTGAATGTTGCTTTTCAGTACTTACTGATGTGTTTGAGAGTTGCTGTAGTAAAGAATTAGGACTTACTTTGACCTGTTAGGAACATAAAGTGGAATAACTGGTATAGGTGGATCTCATTCTGTCAGTCTTGTGAAACACTTGGAATAGTTGAGAAAGGCCTCCTCTTCTCTTCCCCCACCGCAGTACTTGGCCTTGGTGGGTGAGTACACCCCTGAGAAGTAATAAGCTGTTTGGCTTTGTCAAAAGGTGATGGCTTATGAATTTGTTTAACAGAAAAAGGTCCTCCCAGTAGTTTAAAGGGTACTCATGCACAGTGTGCTGCAGGGCTTTCCTGCAGATAACCTGGCATTTGAAGGAGAGGAGCTTCTTTCTGTGACACTGCTAGTGAAAGCCAACAGAACTCCAGAGAGATAAGAAGCTGGTCTGTCAGGCATGCCTTCCTCAATAGAAGAGCCTCTTGGGTGTGTTGTACACATTATAAAGTATTCACCTCCTGTTTATGGATCACAGCTTTGCATCCACTCCCCAACAGTAAATCTGACTCAGTTTAAAATTAGAGACTTGCAAGAAGCTGATACAGAAAGGTGTTAACATTGAAAACCTCCATTCTGTTTCCTGCCTCTGCCTCAATTGCCCATTTCCCTCTGAAGCTGAGTTAAAGCTATGCCTGAAAGAAGAATTTTTCTGGACAGTAATTCTGAGTACTCGGGAAGTTGTGTGGGTCTTTTCATATGCTTGTGTCTCCTTTGAGAAATGCAAGTAGTGTAACTACAACAAAATGCTCAGTCCACCCAAGGTGTGGGTTGGAAGCTCCCTTTAACTTGGAGGATTCCACATGTCGGTGTTTAAATGGACTCTAATGTAATGGGTAGAGTCCTGTGGCATCTTGCCTAGAATAAACTTTTGAATTTTTAGGCCTGCCTGCCCACACGCTTCAACATCTTCAGCACGTTATCATTACAATATCAAGCTAAGTTATGTGCGACTGCGGGAGACTGGGGATGAGGAAAGGAGGTGGGGATTCTTCTGTGTTATATCAATGTTTTGTCCCTTGGTTATGGCCTTAAATGATAAACGCAGCCACTGCCTGTGCCCTCAGCATTTACCTCCACAGAAGTGAACCTTGCCTCAGGGTAGAATGTGTTCACAGTATCACAGTATGTTAGAGATTGGAAGGGACCTCAAAAGATCATCTAGTCCGATCCCCCTGGCGGAGCAGGAACACCTAGATAAGGTTACACAGGCTCATCACAAGGTACACAAACTGTTTTCAAAATGACTTGTCAGGAGGTTGAATGAATAGCTTACAGGTACAGCAGTGTCAGACTGGTACAGCTCAGAATGGTTCTGGCAGGATTTTTGGGGGGTGGGACACAACACACTGTGCTGACTGCCTCTTCTGCATCAGTGTGTGAACTGGAAAAACGCATTAAAGGAAACAAGTCATTGTCAGCATATTCATGGTCATCTTAATAGTACGTGAAGAGCTTTTCATTGCTTCTCATATAACTTCTAGTTTTTCCAGAGATAAAACTGTTCTAGGATTCTACAGTTTTATTGGAAGGGACCTTAAAGATCATCTAGTTCCAATTTGCCTGCCATGGGCAAGGAGAAAACACAGCCACAACTTGTGCTTCTGAGCTCAGGCATTTTAAAACATGATCGCTGCTGCCACGCAGAATTGACACCCTGCTATGCCTCTTCTCATTTCCACCTCTTGCTAGCAGCAAGGCAATCCATGGGAGAGTGATTCTGAGGAATGGGTGCTGGTGGTAATGTGGCAGCTTGCCTACTGCCCATATCGCCGTCCTCACAGTACTTGAGAACAAGCACAAAGGTGCAGAGTTTATTCACTGTGTAAGTTGAGACTGTGTTGTAAATGTGTGGCTGTGGACTCGGGAAAAACCATCAGGCAGGTGATGACCTTGGCCCTCTGCATGCCTTTCTCAGATTGACTCCCAGGAGATCGTCTGGTGTGTAGTTTTTATAAAAGCCTGGTTAGAACACAGATAACGAATTTGGGCTGTTTCTTTTTGCTGAACCAACCAGAAATTTTGGAATATCTTGTGTGTTGTCACTGCCTGTAACCCAGTATTCAAAATAATCCTTATGTTTGCTGGTTCCAAGAAAATAGCTGCCATTTGATGTTCCAGTAACAGCATAGGTCTGCTTAACTAGGAAATGCCTTGGAGAGGAAGGAATGACACTGGAAGGTGTTTCTTCTCTTTCTCTGAAAAAGACACCCAAAACCCCACAGATGGTGCCTTGAATATTGCTTTAAACAGATCAGGAAATTCTACAGTTACTTTAACAGTCTGTAATGCATTTTTAGTTTGATGTTTTATCTTCTGGTCACAAAACCTTGCAAACTGAAAAACTAATTACTCAGTACTAGAGATGTATGAGTAGTTGCCCAGATGGTTACCTGCCAACCCAGAATCTTCTGTGACAATCTCCACAACAACTCCTTTAAATGGAAATTGTTAATTTTCTGTAACAGATACCTTTTTTAGAATGGTAACTTGTCAATTCTATGTAGACTTTAACTGAAGAATCTAAATAACAGTTGTTTTAACTTCAGATGAGACTGTCAGTCTCTACTGCTATATTTAAGTGGCTTGCGTATGTGTCTTGATTACAGTGAAGTTAGTGGCAAGATGCTGGGAGAAAGCACGCTTGGAAAACTGACTGTCAGGTCTCTTTTCTAGGACTTTGTGTTCTATGCCCCTCGTCTGAGAATTAACAAGAGGATCCTGCAGCTTTGCATGGGCAACCATGAACTGTATATGCGGCGCAGAAAGCCCGACACCATTGAGGTGCAACAGATGAAAGCCCAGGCCCGGGAGGAGAAGCACCAGAAACAATTGGAAAGGTGAGCTTAAATACAATCAGCAGAAATGGGGTGGCAGGGATGAATGCCACCGGTGCCACAGCAGGGGTTGGCAGGCAGCTGTACCTGCAGGGCAGCTAGCAGCAGCATGGCTTTTGCAAGGAAACACACAAGTAAAGGCACAGTGGGCTCTTGTGTGGTGGTGCACACTCAGAGAGAGCTCCTTCTGGATCCTCCTGAGTGTTAGGATCTGATTTATGTGTTGGACCAAGGGATGGTTGGGAGTAAGGAAGAAGTCTTCAAGGGTGCATGCAGGTACGCTGTGAATAGGAAAGAGGGCACTGAGGGACCTGTTACAAGCACAGAAAAAGGATTAGCGATTCTGTTGGACTACCACTACTTGCTGCAGGTTGCTTAGGGTTCAAGAAATCATGATGCTTTTCTCCTGTATTTATGGCTTATTTGGTATCATTCCCTCAATGCTCTTGTTCTTATGCCTTCTTGGCTTCCCTTACACCAGAAGTAACAAAGTTAAATCTCTGCTGTACCAAGTAGATTTGCAGTACCCAGTCCAGACTTGCAGTGCCAAGTCCAGATTTTCTCTCTCTGCATGTAGTAGCTATTTGGTGTTCTAAATTTCTGTGGCAGGCAACTAAAATAGAAATGTTTTTATGAAGTGGAGTATCCAGAACTGAGCAAAAATTCTGAAGTGATGAAGGAACAAGCTATATCTATTTCTGCCTTCTGGCTCTCGTTTTGTGGCAGTTGCTTCCCACTGAGCTGCCTGGAGAAATGCCCAGCCTGCATTCTTGTCTGGCTGTACCTTAGGTCTGAAAGTGAGTTTCAAGCATGAAATCTCTTTCTAACAGGCAACAACTAGAAAACGAAAAGAAGAAAAGGGAGACAATTGAGAGGGAGAAAGAGCAAATGTTGAGAGAAAAGGAGGAGCTCCTGGTGAGGCTACAAGAATATGAGGTGAAGACTCAGAAAGCAGAGAAAGGTAAAGTACTTGTACCAGACCATATGTATTGTGCTCCATAGGAGGGTTATATGGGTCACTGCCTACACCTAGCCTAAACCTTGGTGACACTGGGATCTCTTGGCAAGGCTTACTGATACCTGTCTATGGGGATAAATACATACATTCACATACTGATACCAGCCAAAGTATGAAAGTAGCATAAAATCTGCCAATTGTATTTGGGAACTGAAGGGCACTAACTTTATTTCCCCCTGTTGCCAAGAGAGTTTAAGTAGTTTGGCGTCTTCCAGCAGGCAGTGAGCGTTCAGCTCTCAAGTACTTTTTACTTAACTCCTAACAGAAAAAGTACTTTTGGAAAGAAGCCTTTCCCATGAAAAGGAAGCTTCTGTTTCAGTTCAGTTCGAGACAGCAACATCTGGTCCTTGCAATTAAGGACACCAGAATCATGTCGGTGCTGCAGGCTTCAGTGCAGATATCTTGCAGAAAATTGAATCGTGTGCAGCTGACTACTTCAGAGTTCAGTTACTTAATGTGTTACACAAATAATTACTTTGAGGTGCACAGTGAAGGGGTACTGCAAGCAGGAGTGAAGTGCTTGTCGTGACTTCTGCAGTTACCTAGGAGACTGCTTGTAGTCCCTTCACTTTGACCAGGCTTATGCAGTAACCACATTGATTCATCTTGTTCCAGAGCTCTCAGATCAGATCCAAAGAGCCATTCAGCTGGAGGAGGAAAGGAGACGCGCACAGGCAGAAGCAGAACGTCTGGAAGCTGACCGTCTGGCTGCTCTGCAGGCCAAAGAAGAGCTGGAGAGACAGAATATGGACCAGATAAAGAGCCAGGAACAGCTGGTAAGACCCAGTCATTTTGAGGATAAGAGATACAGGTGTGTTAATATGCCCTTTGAGTAAGGTAAAGCCTTTCTTTCCAGAGAAAAACCATGGTGAAGTAGTAGACCCTGTGATAACATCATTGTGGCATTGGTTTCTGTTATGAGCAGTCTGCTTTTTAAGTCTTAAATTCTTATTCAGTCTTTATTACACTGGAGTGTCACACTTGGATCTTTTCTCAGTCAATAGTGTTTGTTTGCTCTGTGTTCTGTTTTTTTGAAGAGTCCTTGTAATTCCAGTTTTATTATTCAACAGGCTACAGAGCTTGCAGAGTATACAGCCAGGATTGCACTTCTTGAGGAGGCAAGGAGACGTAAAGAGAGCGAGGTTGAAGAGTGGCAAATCAGAGTGAGTATCAGCTTTACGAAATTGCTCTGGAGCTCTGCACTTGAGCAGAGCATACCACAGTGCTTAGCCTGATAGGACTTCTCTAAACGCGTAGACAAACATCTGTAGGCCAACAGCAAAGGGCAGACTTATGAGGAATGTGCAATATGTCTGTAAAACACCTTTCTTTCAACAAGCCCTCAGTCAAAATTCAGAATTGAAGCCTGTATGAAATCTAAAAGTGAATTATAGTCTTGGAGACATGGGGGGGGGAAGTGGTACATTGTATTAATGAGGTATTTAATCCATGATGCAATGTCTGAAAATATCACATCAATCAAGAGAAGATGCCACACTGCAGGTACTGGTCCCGAGGACTGTGTGCTGTTGGCAGTGGCTTCCTGCACCTGGGTTGGGAGAGTTTAATAATTGGATGCACCAACCCCAACCCATGCCAGGCTCAGCATGCCTGGTTCTCCCAGTGCCCTTTGGCAGGTGCTGCAGACTGCACAGGAGTGCAGAACCTCTGAAGCGGCATGGAATCTGACTGCCCAGTATGCAACTGCATTAAAATGCCAACCATGGAACCAGAGTTCTTGCTCTGTGAAACCCATATCTACAGCCTGCAGCTCTTCAAATGGAGTGCAGGATAAAGATAACTGTAGATGCCTGCAGAATTGTTTTTCCTACAGTGTGTTGTGTTGGAAGATCCTTTGTTCAGATCCCCTGTACATTACACAATTACACAGTGGATGATAGTACCACTAGCAAAAATGTTTTGCTTAACACAACAGTGTGTCAACTGCAGAGATTTAACTTCCTCTTCTTGCTTTTCATAGTAGCTTGAAAAAAGAGGGGAGACAAGTGTTAAAGTGTTCATTAAGCTGGTGTAAAGCAACAAATGCATTTAAAACTATTTTTCACTCTCTGCCCAAAGGCCAAGGAAGCTCAGGAGGATCTGGTAAAGACAAAGGAGGAGCTACAGCTGGTGATGACTGCTCCACCTCCACCCCCACCACCTGTCTACGAGCCTGTTAACTACCATGTCCATGATAACTTGCAAGATGAGGGATCTGAGTACTCTGCCTTCAGTGCGGAGTTCTCCAGTGAGGGGATCCGGAATGACCGCAACGAGGAGAAGCGCATTACTGAAGCAGAGAAGAATGAGCGTGTGCAGAGGCAGCTGAGGGTAAGGCAGTGGAGTAATTGAAACAATTGTTCCTGGAAAATAGACCACTTAACTGCTTGGTTAAGCACACAAAGCACAATAGTTTCTCTTCATTTACAGTTCCTGTAGGCAGCTGGAATTAAATGCAAGATCTACAACGGTTACTGTCATTGCTCAGGCTTTGAGATTACTTATTCACATTATCCATAGCGTTTATGGAAAGCATGCGTTGTATCTCCATCATTGTTAGATCACTCTGTCTAGTCATCTAACAACTGTCAACTCTCACCAAAGAGCACTGCTGTCACCAGCTGAAAGCTTCACATGTATAATCTGTATCTGTTGTCCTTGATATTGCAGGCGCTGACAGATGAGCTGGCCCAGGCTAGAGATGAAAACAAGAGGACCCACAATGATATTATCCACTCAGAGAACATGCGACAGGGACGTGACAAGTACAAGACACTGCGACAGATCCGGCAAGGCAACACCAAGCAGAGAATTGATGAGTTTGAAGCAATGTAATGATGTTTGTAACAAGAAGGAAGGACTGTGGGGAAGGCAGATCTTAATGCTGTATTCTTGTTTTGGGGGTTTGTTGTTTTTTTTTCCCCTGAGGAGGGGTCACTGTATGAGATGTAACAAGTGTTCTTTAAAAACCCCAGGGTGTTTGAATCTCACTTTTATTTTGTACCTCCTATTAAATTTGGTATAGTTAAAAACTCATGGTACCACTGATCCTGGTAACTTGCTCACGCCTTTGCTTAGTGCCAAAAGGCCTTAGGTCACATCTTTCTTTAAGCAAGCAGGTGCTGGATTCAGGTTGGTCTAAAACTAAGTGACTGTGGGCAAATTTTGTGCCATATGTTTCTGTATTATTAGTTACAGTGTAAAGTCCAACAGTTGCAAAGACAGGTTGTAGAACTCAGAATTTGCAAGCCCTGTATGTATGTGTGCATGTGTGTTTATATACCCTAGTTTTTTATCCTTGGTCTTGATGCCCACAGCCTGTTCCCTACCCCATGCACACAGAAGAACTGACACCACCTCAGAACCTCTCTGTGTAGAAATTAGGCTTCTTCTGGTTGCTGCTCTCAACTGGAGAAACTCTGCAGTGATGGCACAGGGACACTGATACCCTCCTTGTGTAACACCTAGGCAAATATGCTGTTGGAATCTAATACACTCCTGTGTTTGCATTCCAGCTTCATTACTGATCAGTCATAGTGTAGTATTTATATATATATATTAAAACCATGCAATATGTGGATTGCAGTAGCTTAAAGGGAAATAGTTTTGCTCTGTATATTTTGTTACTTTTCAGATTAAATAAGACTTGCATCTGTAAAAATGCCTAAACAATGCTTAGTCTAATACAGTGCATTAACTGATTATTTGCTACAAAGCATTATTTGTAAAGATCACTTTTTTACTTAATGAAAACTTACTATGTACTCATGATCCAACAGATACAATTTTACTGCACCTATTTTTCTAACAAATTTTCTAATTTTTTTTAAATGTTTGATTTAAAGTTTCAGACTCCAAAGATGAAGGGACTGCTTGTTTATATCACAGTTGTATTCTCTCTAGTAGAGAGCATTTCTGTGACCATTCCTTCCCCTCCTAGGTTCCCCCTTTCCTTGAAAATCTGTTAGAAAGTGAGATACAGTATGTTGTCAGCTCTTCTCTTCCATTTACACCATCTCTGCTGCTTTATACTTGAGTTAAATTGTGTGTGGTTTTTTATTTGCAGCAGCAAACATTAAATAAAAGATCTGCAAAGTAACAAAGGACTCGGAGTCAAGTGGTTCTTGTGTGGGGCATATTTTGTATCAGGCATGCATTTTCATCTAGTTCCTGAGCTTAGCATACAACTCCTTGTGTCTTTAATTCTTAACTCCTTAAAAGCCACATTACCTGGGCAGGAAGAAAGGAGAGTACTATGTGTAATGGCCTGAGGTATGTAACAGCAGCACTTGTTACAGTTGTATACATAAAGTTTCTGCTGACTGTTAACACTACAGTTCACAGGCACAGTGAACTTACACAGCAGCTGGGCCTTAAGCTTACATGAATAAATTATAACCCTAGCTAAACTCCTGTTCTGTGTGCCATATGGATCTTGTTAATACTGTCTTACAGGTGATAAGAACAAGGAACTTAGTTTAACCACACTATTCTAGTAACTGTTGTCCCTCACTCCTGCTGAGGAGTGCAGGACAATTCCTTCAACATATAAAACATCAAGATGAGAGTGAAGGCAGGTAACTTTAAGGTAACAGTTATTTTTCTCTAAGATGTATTCCTATCTGTGATTAAAGAATGACAGTTCTAGGCCCAGAACTAGAAAGCTGCATCTCATCTGGCTACTGTTGCCTTGTCACCACAATGCATTTCTGAGTTTGTCACTCCCAGAGAAACCTTATACTTCAGATAGACACATAGATAACAAAGCCTTAACCTTTGGAGCAATAAAGCCTCACACACTTTCAAATGTATAACTCTATGTTCCACAAATGCTGGACTAGGTATGTTTGCAGTGTACCTTTCCCCAGACCTGAAAGGTACATGCTACTTGAATTGAAAGCTTCACAACATGGGGAAAGCTGTTGTGTAGTTCTCTTATGATTTAAAGTTTTCCTTGTTTGAATGCAGTACAAGTGTAAAGTCCATCCACGTGTTTGGTCTGCACAGTACTTCCTGCCATTGGAGCACTGACTGAGAAAGGGCTGTAGAGCCAAACCATTCCACTGCAACAAAGCAAAAGGGAAGGACACAGTTACTTTTCACTTGGTCTTACCCAACTGACTGGACAACAATGAACCTGTTTAGCTGTTCTATAGCTCCTAAGGCATTAATTGCAATAAATTGTAGTTATATTTTGAAACATTACTTAAATCCTGTTAAACCAGAATCACTTACTAGAAAAAGTTTCTAGTGATATGACTAAAAGCAAAGGAGCAAGCATGTGTATTAATAATGGCAGCATGGCACTAGGTTGCATGCTGCTGTTCATTTCCAGTCACTTTAATGCATTACTAAGCTTGAATAGTCATCCTCACTCAGGAGCAGGTAGCTCCTGCTCTGGCAGAAAGATGCTGGGTAGGACAATCAAGCTCACAAGGCAGCTTGCACAGCACTGAGTTATTAGTGATAATACTCCCCTAAAGTGTGTGTTCATACCATAACACAGTGTCTGAGCAATCTTTTTGAACCTTTCATCTCAGAACTCTCTGGGAAGACAGACTCCATGGGGCAGCCTTCAAGTGGCAGCCTTCAATTAAAAGTGAAATGGGGCCTATTCAGTGAGCAGAGGGCTTCTCCAAAATTTCTCAGCCTTGAGAGCAGGCTTTCTCACTTGCACATACACTAGAACAGAGCCCAAAACTCAGATGTGCAATAGCCCCTTCTGAGCAAGTTTCACTGTCTGTATCTCTGAGTGGCTGGATAGTTTTGTGGATGTAAACTAATAAGCACACACATAGGGAAGGTTGGAGTCTAGTAGGTCATTAGTTCTTGTGCTTCTTTTTTATTAAATAGTATTGAAAATTAACCAATGCATAGGAAACAGCTCAAAGAACCGGTCTTCAAAAATTAATGGAGCTCTAGATGAGTCAACTCCACCCAGCTTTTCAATGCCTGCCTTAGCATAGCCAGGCTTCAGTCCTGTAACTTCCCATGTTAACAAATGGCTTTCCTGAAAATTCCCACTGACAACCTTGAACTTTTGCAAAGACCTGAACTAAAGCACATGCAGTGTTTCTTACAGGATCAAAGCCCAAGGCACACAGCAGTGGGTGATAAATAGCACAGTGTAAGTATTATTTAGAATGTAAAGTAAATGAACTTTTCCCAAACTGCCTTCAATTTTTCATGATAAAGAACCTACTTGCACCAATTATAGCTCCTCCTAGGAATTGATCGCTTGAGCTGGAAGTTGACTGGTCCCAGACAGTCAAGTGTAGACATGACTGTTGCAGCTGAGCTGGGGTCACACCATCAAAGACAAACAAGTGATTCCACTGGGGACAGGCTTCTTTCCTCCGGACAGGAGACTTCTGCTTTACCTCTGGTTGGTCTGGAAGGATAAGACAACTTCCCCAGAACAATGAGAGTTTAGCAAGGTTACTGATTTCTCAACCAGAAAACAGAACATTTGCAATGATCAACCAGGGCCCTTTGGTTTGCTTTAAATAGCACATAAGTTCAGCCTAAGTACAAGGTAGAACATGGTCCCAATGTGTTTATTCTGGGACTTGTTCCTTTTCCTGTCTGCCTTCAGTGTGAGTGCAAGTAGGCTCTTCTAGTCTGTCTTTTGCTGTCACTGACTGCTGAAGAAATCTTTACTGCCTGTTCTGTTACCCAATTCTGCCCCAAACCTGCTTTTCAATAGATAAATTTCTAGCCCATTTCACTGAAGATCTGTGCCACAAACAATGAAATGGCTTTACGTGATGGTGGAAATGTACCCCAGTGTCATATTTCCAATGGCATCTGGTGCTGGACAGTAAGAAAGTAAAATGACCCCACGTACAAGTTACTCAGCACACTGAAGAAAAATTCAGTCCCTCTTCTTTTAAAATGTTTAAAATGAAGAGGATAAAGGTTTCCTTTTAAATGTACCCAAAGATATATTTAATTCTGCAAAGGCACACATGAAAAACAAGAATTAAAATATCCTCTGACTGGTGCTACCCCAACCTCCCAAACCCCCCCCCCCCCGCCCCAATACCTAAAACCAGGTACTTAAACTAGCGACCTTTGAATTTTAATGACAAGTCACTGCTGAAGTTCCATTCAGGATCCAAAGAGCCAGTGGGACCCATCACTGCACTGCTGAATGCTGCTGTTGTGCAGGTACCCCTGCCACCATTACAAGGACTGTCTAAGAATGTGGGCAATGCCACTTTCAGGGGGCAGTCTCCTACTGAAAACATGTTAACACATACATTCACACAGAACGTGTATGACATTTTCTGTTTGAAGTGTTAGGTCTCATACATACCCTATAACAAATGGGTTCAGCATTCCAGAAGCTCTCAGCACAGGCAAGTTCTTGGCCTCAGTTATCACAACCTGAAGCTGGCAGCTGGGAACGCCTTGGTCTTTTCTTCCTGCAACAAGAGCATTTATCACATGAAATAACCAGTTAGTTCAGCTGAAAGCTTAAGATGTTTCTATCAGTAAGTAGGAAAATGCCTAAGTGGTACTACTGAGATAAGGACTCACAGTGCTAATACAGGATCATTTGGATCATTTGAAAGACTTTAACCTGTTTGTACAGGGTACGAGTCACACACTCCCCAAAAAGGCAAGCAAAGAGTAGCAGGTTGCTTTGTGATTCCTGTTCCAAATACCGAGCTTTCTGATGTATTTGTATAAAGTAAATACAGGGCAGTACCTACAGGAGTGTTTCTCTGAAACAAAGCCAGAAGCAGGAGAAACAGCCAAGTACAGTTTGATTCCGCTCCTCTGTGACAGCTCTAGCTATAGAGACCCAATACACAGGAATGCACAGGGAAGAAAAATGAAAGAAAGTTGGTAACTTTTAGGTCATTTGGAAAAGAAAAGGAAACAAAAGTAGCCTAACAGCTAATCAGATCTTCATAGTGGCCTCTACCTTATGCTGCGGTCCTGACACTTGAGAGTTAGTAGAGCTCTGAACCTCTGTATATCTCACTATGATCTAGGGAGGCAATTTTCCAATGAGGTTGTCCTATCCGTTCTCCCAAGGTGTTTCTTTTACTCCACCAGCAATACTGAATGTATCTTACAAGTCTTTCATTTCCAAAAACTGAATCCTGACTGTACATTTTGAACCTAACACCTTCTAAGTGAAACAATCTCTCTTAAATGAAACCACTGGAGGAAGCTAAGGGTGACGGTTGGTACCCTTGCAACCATTTCTTTTCCACCTTTTCCCCAAATTGGCAGTCTCCACCTTGGGCATTAAAACTGCACCACCTCCAGAACAAGGCCTATCAGCAACTATGACTGGCACAAGCTTCCCAAACAGCTGGCTGCATCATGCTGCTACCACTATAATGTGCAGCTTTTGTTGGCATTAAAAAGAACAAAAAAAGATGAAGTTGGCAAATGTTTGGATCTTAATTAATTTGAACTATAATACACCACAAACCACTATTTGCAGCAGCTGTTCTAAACCCCATACAGGCAGATTACATGGACACATTGCTAGTTCCTCATTGATATCAATTCTTTTCTAGCCAAGGGATTCAGCATACATAGTGATGTATGCTGAAATATTTTATACCTTCAAACTGGAAATTTTTATACTGAGCTGGTGCTGACAGTCTTGCAGACACAAGGAGTTCACCACTGTACTCGGTAAAACCATGTTCAGGCTTTTCAAGCTGAAGAAAGGAACACACAGAAATTTGCATTACTGCAACCATTCTATTCCGCATCCTTCTTACAGTTTGTTTATGTTTGCAACATGTACTTCTTAAGGGGCTGGACTGACAGCATTTTTCCCTCCAATGATCTCAGAAGGGTGATATTTTTCATAACTTTCAGTACATCTTGGTTTTAAGATATAACTAAGCACAAAAACTAAGAATCACCTTTGGCTTGAGCTGGTACCAGCTGAACAACTGCATTGAGTCCTCTTGAAAATCCCATGCTGCCAGTGGAATCACCACTTCCCCCAAAAACACCCTGTATTTGAGTGCTCCTGCATGCCACACAGAGATCTGAAGCTGCCGACTTCCCAGCTGGGAGTATTCAATCTTGTACTGGAAAGATAAATATTATTTAGAGGGTGAATGCATGC